TAATGACTCTACTGTCTTCTGTAGCTGAAATAGATATTTTTCTTCATAATTTATGAATTTTAAAACATTAACTCTGTTATTTTTCTGTTTATTACTGTGAAGCTGCTTTGATCTGAAGCGCTATAGAAATAAATGTGACTTGACAATTAAATAATATAAAATGAAAAATATAAAATACACAAAAAATAATGCAAATGTAATGAATAAAATTAAACAATCAAATAAGATCAACTACTCGTAATGCACTGCCAAATGGAATGCAGCACAATAATGACTTTATCTTGTTTTCATAATCATTTCAAGCCAAAATAAAAGCTGGAAATAAAGTTTGATTACTTTTATAATGCTAGTATGAAGAAATTAAGACAACCATAAATATTAGTGTTGTACAGTAATTTTACTGTTGTAATGTCAAAATATACTTAATTGTATTTTTTTAAACACTAATAATTACTCATTTTGTTTTTATTTATTAATTTATATCTTTTTATTTAGAAATAATAATAATTCATTATTTTATCTTGATGTAATGATATAAATATATAGCAAAAAAAAAGGGCAACACTGCACAGCCCTACAAACAAACACAGCAAACTCAAAATTATTATTAAAATCACATTTGAAATTGTGATAGCAGTTTTTAATCTGAAAAATTACAAATCCAGCCCTACTAGGTTCTCTGATCCAGATCACAGATCAGGGTTATTATAGTTTACTAAAAGCTTAAAAAAATGCATTAAATAAAATAAGTGTTACCTGAAATATAATCAAACATTAAAAAACGTCTTTCAGATGATTGCCAAGACAATACATCTCATTTTTATTAATATTAACCTGAACTAAAATAACTAAAACTGAAATAAAAAATAATAAAATTACTTATTTTTTATTTTAAAATTATTTCTATATAGACTAAATAAATGAAAAAACTTATTTGTAATATAATTCATATTTCATAAACTTTAAGAGTATCGCAATGACACTGGTCCTGACTTATATAATAAGAAGCTTATTATGAATGTTTTTCATTTATTATCTGACACAGCTCATGTTCGCAGACGGTTTAATCGATCCATTACTGTCACTCTCGCCATTAAACCTCATGTAATGTTCGACCGCAGCATTAGACTGCTGTCATGATCAGTGTTGGGGAAAGTTACTTTTAAAAGTAATGCGTTACAATGTTGCGTTACTCCATAAAAAAGTAACTAATTTCGTTACTTAGTTACTTTTTGTGGAATGTAATGCGTTATGTTACTTTTGCGTTACTTGCGTTACTTATTTGAAAAAGTAACTCAGATATTCTCTTGTAAACTAAAAAGTAATGTTACTTTACTAGTTACTTGAAAAAAGTAATCTGATTACGTAACTCGCGTTACTTGTAATGCGTTACCCCCAACACTGGTCCTGGGCTCTTTGAGTTGTTTCTCTTGTTCCACTGGGCTTCCTCTGTGTTGATGGATGAATCATGGAGCTGTGGTGAATCTGAGCCGGCCTCAGCAGGATTAGCTCTAATCTGATGCTCCCGCGTTCATTCGCTGCTTTAATCTGACGCTCCACGACAACAGTCCGCTTCATTCGCCTCAGACTGTAACCTGTCCACAAACCAGCCGTCTGCGATCACACCTCAACACCACAAACAGAAGAGACGTTACAGAAGATCAGAGATATTAAGGCTGCATCAGTCAGCCCTCACTTTTGGACGGATTTATGTTGCTCTTTTAGGCACAACTGCACTACAGCTCTGACAGAAATTATATTTCAGACATTTAAGCATTTTTATAATAAAATGGACGAGTCATATTTTCATTTAAAGTTATTTTATGTGTCCTAAATGCACCCAAATAAATCCTTTTTGCGTCATTTGACAAAATTACAGCTTGATTAGAAATAAATGCAATAAAATATTCTATTGACTGGTGATTTTTACCTTTTAGATTTTTCTTTGTATATTCATGTGTTTCCTATCAAGCTCTTCTGCCGCCTAACATAATAAACAATCAAAAACCATAAAATGCATTTGAAAAGTATGGCTAAGGCATGCAGGTAAAACAGTTTACACAGACGTTCAACAAATGAAGGTGGAAATCTGTTCTTTTTCATGCAAACCTACCGTTGGGATAACAGGAAGCGAGAGTAATTAAAGAAACACATAATAATGGTATAAATCTTATGATGATTATTGATGCACATGTGCTGTTGAGCATATGATCGTGTTCAGAAGGGTGTGTGTGCATGGAAATGGAAATGTAGACCGCATGGGGCGGCTGCTTTCGTCTGACCATCAAATCTGTGTGTGTGTGTGTGTCAGTCAGTTGTGTGTGTGTGTCAGTCAGTTGTGTGTGTGTGTCAGTCAGTTGTGTGTGTGTGTCAGTCAGTTGTGTGTGTGTGTCAGTCAGTTGTGTGTGTGTGTCAGTCAGTTGTGTGTGTGTGTCAGTCAGTTGTGTGTGTGTGTGTGTGTCAGTCAGTTGTGTGTGTGTGTGTGTGAGTGTGTGTGTGTGACTCACTCACACTCACTCACACACACTCACTCACTCACACACACACACACACACACACACACTCACACACACACACACTCACACACACACTAATCTATCTACTTTTTGTTCTTCAGTAGAACAGTGAAGAAGAGTTTTAGCTGAAACCGTGCTCCTTTGTGATTCATACAATGGAAGTCAGCAGCTGCCTGTCTTTAAGAATAACATTTCTTTTCAGGGAACACAAAATGAATCCCCGTGGCTCCTGTCCGATATATTGAGCTCTTATGAAACGAAACGATCAGTCTGTGCAAGAAACTGAACATTATTTACAACATGATGATGACCTGTGATCCAGAGCCTCAGACAAACCGTCCGGAATCATTCGTGAACGAATCATTCTTTTGAACCAGTTCTTTTTGGTGAACTAACTGAATCAGTTCATCAAATCGGACTGAATCATCTGAATCAGTTTGTGTCTCGAGCAGCACAGATTTACAATAAAAACTCACTTTCAGACGCCTGACAGTCACTCCGACTGGAAATGAGCCGAAATAGCGGCGTATCTGATCCTGTGATGAATGAACTGATTCAGTCCTCCAGTTCCTCCAACAGTCACTGGACTGAGGAATCAGACCGACTCGAAGACCGACGAGCCGCTGATATGAGCATGAGTGAACCAAGAGCTTGAATGAAGGGGTTAAATGAACGTTTTTATGCTTTCTCATGGCTTATGTAAAAAGATGAGCTGATTACGTTTATTCACTTATTGGGTGCTTTAATAATATAATTGTATATATATGTGACGTCATTGCATGATTACATAAACAAACTAGTGAATGTGTGAACCACTGTCTGAAAGAACCAGTTCATGGAAAAGAATCGTATTTCCCCGTTTGCCTGAGGCTCTGGATTACAGGAAAAGTACTGTCAGTCTCATCTGTCCATCCTCCAGATCAATAGTGATTGGCTGCTGTGATGGGATCAATGGGAGGGTGGCACCAGTCCAGATGGCCGCTCCATATGGCTTGTGTTTATGTCCGTCAGGAGAACCTGCAGCTAATGCCATCTGGACAGAACAGCACGTCACCGAGAGAGTGAAGCCGCAGCGGACGCCAGGCTTTCTTCAGTCCTGTTTACTGTTGTGATTGATCACAGAACGCTTTCCTTTTCGACAGCATTACTTCTCGAGTGTTTGCTCCTGTGCTGGCTGTCTCCTTACCGTCTCACGTGGAAAGTCCATCCTCAAGTCAAATCACGCTGATTTCTACAGCACTTCATATGAGCAGCTTCACAGTAATAAACAGGAAAATAACAGTGTTAATGTAAAATTAATCCGCTATGAAACAAATTCAATTTCAGCAATAAAGCAGCTCTACAGAAGACAATAGTGTCATTATTCAGTTCAATAACAGTGTCAGTGTTGCATCCATTTTTACGGCTGAACCTTCAAAAATTCATGTTTTTTTGTTTTTTCCACCTCAGGCTCAAAGCACATCACATTATTGACTTTGTGTCAGTAACAATATTTGTTCTGCAAATACCGCATGTTCTCAGATCAAAGGATTTTAAAAAATGCATTTATTTATTTAATTTATTATAATTAGCATCTTTACTGTAACTGAATGTTTCCTGCAGAAATGAGAGTCAGAATCAGATGCATGACCTGACTTCACACTACTGAGCACAAAACTAAGCATTTAAATATCATATAACCCGAGTATCACTGAAATGCTAGTATAGTTTGTTAATATTTTGAATTAGATGTTATTTATATGTTCCGTTTTTAGTTAAAGCTTTAGTAATGCACACAGTTTTAGTACACTGTAAATCTGCTTTAACACAATCAGTATTGTATAAAGTGCTATATAAATAAGGTGACTTAATTTTGTAAATTAAGCCTAATTCAAAGAGAATTTATTATATTTAGGCAATTAAAATCTAATGTTGAGACGTGCAAATTGGCTGGACCCTGGAGCACAAAAGCAGTGTTAAGTCGCTGGGGGATATTTGTAGCAATAGCCAACAATACATTGTATGGGTCAAAATTATACATTTTTCTTTTATGCCAAAAATCATTAGGATATTAAGTAAAGATCATGTTCCATTAAGATATTTTGTACATTTCCTACCATAAATATATCAAAACTTAATTTTTGATTAGTAATATGCATTGCTAAGAACTTCATTTGAACAACTTTAAAGATGATTTTCTCAATATTTAGATTTTTTTGCACCCTCAGATTCCAGATTTTCAAATAGTTGTATCTCAGCCAAATATGGAAAAATATGGAAAGCTTATTTATTCAGCTTTTAGATGATGCATAAATCTCAATTTCCAAAAATTGACCCTTATGACTGGTTTTGTGCTCCAGGATCACATTTGTAAAATGTATTTCACTTTCAACATTTCTTCTGCAGCGCACACTAAACAACATTTATCCATCATCAGATTATTTTATGGCATCTTTTACCCCAGAGCTCTTCGGTGTTTCCTGTAACCGTGTCCTTCTGTTTCAGGGACTTCCTCCCGCGCGGCTCTGGGATCGTCACCCGCAGGCCCCTCGTCTTGCAGCTCATCAACTGTCCCACAGGTGAGCCGCGCTGAACACTGCTCTGGGATCAGGTGCTTCTCGCTCCGAGTTTGACTGCAGAAACACATCAGATGCAGCTGTAATAACGTGATTCAGCATTAACACTGCCATCTAGTGTAGCAGTCTGACCTTCCGTCTGAACTCTGTAAAGCCTGCTGTGTTTCTCTTAATGACCACTGATCAACATGATCACAACTTTACTGAGAAACCAGTTCCACACACAATCTGCTACACGCCTTCCTGATAGTTTAGAGTTTTTATATCCAGCATATTACATTTACATTCACATTTAGTCATTTAGCAGACACTTTTATCCAAAGCGACTTACAAATAGAAGCAACCAAAACCAACAGAAAAGCAATGATATGTAAGAGCCGTGACAAGTCTCGGGTAGCCTAACGCAGTACACGTAGCAGGGTTTTAATAATAATAAAAAGAAAAACAAGTTGATAGAATAGAAAAAGAATAGAAAATGCTAGTGTTAGAGGCTCTTTTTAAATAAAAATAAAAAGTCAAAAAATAGAAAAAGAATAGAAAATGCTAGTGATGGAAGCTCTTTTTAAAATAAAAATATAAAGTCAAAAGAATAGAAAAGAATAGAAAATGCTAGTGATAGAAGCTCTTTTTTTATTAATGTTACTGGAGATATAGAGCGACGACTGATATTTATATCATTTTATGTCAGTATCTGCTCTACTACTGTTATAACGATCTCATTGATTTACATTGGAAACATGTAAATATCAGCATCTGCAGCAAATTCATATTTTTGCTCCGTTTGAGTCTCTGAATAACTGTATCACTGTATCAGACTATATGAGCCATAAAAGCCTGATGATCAAATATGATGCTCAACAGAAAATACATATGCATATGATTTTTAAAATATGTTACATTAAAAACTGATTTTTCTGACTATTATTTTATATGTCAGGCTTTACAGGGTTAATTTGGAGACGTGCAGCTCAGTTTCTATTTATAATGTGTTTTATAACTGTTTCCTCTCAGAATATGCCGAGTTCCTTCACTGTAAGGGGAAGAAGTTCACAGATTTCGATGAGGTGCGTCAGGAGATCGAGGCGGAGACGGATCGAGCCACGGGCCAGAATAAAGGCATTTCTCCCGTGCCCATCAACCTGCGCGTCTACTCGCCTAACGGTCAGATTACAGCATGACATTAACACTCATTAACACACAAACTTCACAGTATGAGATATGATCAGTTTCAGTATATTCTGATGTTGGCTGGAATCAGTGGTGGATCTATTGTGATCTCATACTCTTGACTGTGTGTTGTGTGCGCAGTGCTGAACCTGACTCTGGTGGATCTGCCGGGAATGACTAAAGTGCCGGTGGGAGATCAGCCTGCAGACATCGAGCACCAGATCAGAGACATGCTGATGCAGTTTGTGACCAAAGACAACTGCCTGCTGCTGGCCGTGTCGCCCGCTAACTCCGATCTCGCCAACTCTGACGCCCTGAAGATCGCCAAAGAAGTCGACCCGCAGGGTGCGTGCGATCTATAACACAAATTAACTCTGGCACAACTGCTCCGATTATGTCCACAAGTGTTATTGTGCTCAAATGCAGACAGTCTGGCTCATGTTAAACACTGGTGTAAGTGGGTTAAAAACTCAACCAAAAAATACGTTATTCTGTATGATACGGAAGAGGATTAGGGCCAAGCAATCATAGAAAAATAAAACCATCTCGAGATTAAAGTCATTATAATGCGAGATTAAACTCGTTAAATTTCATGAAAATTTTCGAAATTAAATGCTGAGAATAAACTCATTAAATTACGAGAAAAAAGTCGTGTTTAGAGAAAAAACGCGTTCAATTTCAAGAAAAAAAGTCGAAATAAAATGTTGAATAAACTCATTAAATTACGAGAAAAAAGTCGTGTTTAGAGAAAAAACGCGTTCAATTTCAAGAAAAAAAGTCGAAATAAAATGTTGAATAAACTCATTAAATTACGAGAAAAAAGTCGTGTTTAGAGAAAAAACGCGTTCAATTTCAAGAAAAAAAGTCGAAATAAAATGTTGAATAAACTCATTAAATTACGAGAAAAAAGTCGTGTTTAGAGAAAAAACGCGTTCAATTTCAAGAAAAAAAGTCGAAATAAAATGTTGAATAAACTCATTAAATTTCGAGATAAAAAGTTAAAATTAAATGTTGAGAATAAACTCATTAAATTACGAGAAAAACTCGTTGTGTTTTGAGAAAAAACTTGTTACATTTCAGATAAAAAGTCCAAATTAAATGTTGAGAATAAACTCATTAAACTACGAGAAAAACGTGTTAAATTTCAAGAAAAAAAGTCGAAATAAAATGTTGAGAATAAACTCAT